TGTAGGCATCACTGGAGGTGCTGTGATTTTTTCATGAGCTGATGTGCCTCGTTTTCCATTTTCCGTAGGCATTGCTGGGCGTGTTGTGATTCTTTCATGGGTTGGTGTGCCTCGTTTTCCATTTTCTGTAGGCAGCACTGGGCGAGTTGTAATTCTTTCATGGGTTGATGTGTCTCGTTTTCCATTTTCTGCAGGCAGTGCTGGGGGTGTTGTGATCTTTCCATGGGCCAATGTGCTCTGTAGTCCATGATATGTGGGATTTGCTGGTGTGTTTGTGTACTTTTCGGGTGCTTTTGGGGTCTCTTTTGTTTGTTCTGTAGTCTTTGTTAATGTCTTACCTGAGGCAACTGTGGTTTTGTAATTAGCAGCTGTTGTATGATCATTAGTTCTTTCTCTCTTTTCTGTGGTTCTTATAGATTTGTATGATGTCTTTGTGAATGTTGTGCTTTTTTCCGAGGACAATGTTGGGTTTTTATTGATTTCTGAATTGACTGAGCTATGGGAAAGAGTTGTGGTCTGACGGGAGGTGGTGGTGCTTTTACTGTCTAAAGTAATGGTGGTATTTTCTAAAGGTGTTACAGTTGTATTTGGGTTTCTTATTACTGTTGGTGTTCTTTTCTTGATGGTATGACAGGTTGTTTTGCTCTTGGGTTTTGGAGTTGGATATTTTGCATCAGACGATTTTTTGTGTGTTTTAGTGGAGTCAGCCGGATCAACAGAGCGTCCATTCCGGATAATTGGGTCTTTTCTTTGATTGCTGTGGTTTTGTTCAGAAGTGGGAGGAGCTTCATGATGAGCTGTAGAGTTTTTGGGATTATTGGTAGGTTTGTGAATAAGCTTGGAATGGTGAGTGGTATTGCAATGTTTGGGCTGATGGGTTTCTGTAGATTTCAAGTGGTCTGGAGAGCTGTGTCCTGAATGAAGAGCAGTGTGGTCAGAGGGGTTACTATAAACAAGGTCTGGAATAGGAGGGGATAAATGATCAGATGTTGGGGATTCACCAGCTTTCTGAAGTTTCTGAAATGTGGTAGCACCTGTAAAGAGAGAAAATCAAGTAAGAAACTTTCTCCATGTTTTTCCCTGCTTCCTTGCCCACCTCCATCCTTAAGTATCCCATTAGTAGCCCCAGATATACTCCCCCAGTCAGTCTGCTCAGAATACTATGATATCTAATCCCCATTTTCACCTCCAGTCTCTGAACCTTTGTTCAGGCTGTGTCTTCAACAAGAATGCCACCTCACCTCTTCTCTACTTCTACTCTTCAATTCTCAAATTTAGGTCTTTCTAGCTTTATGGTGTCTTTCAGGATTCGTCCAAGCAGATAAGATCTAGCTTCATCTCAGTTCTCGAAACAATTTTTGTGAATTACTCTTTCCTACTACATTCAGCTTGACATTACAGATGTTTTTGTGCCTGTCAACCTCTACCTCCTGCCCTGCCTATCAAATTGTAAATTTTGAGAGCAGATATTGACAAGCGTTTTGATCCTCAAGTGCTCCTTTAGGGTTTATATAATATTTTTGGAATGAAATTCCCTTTCTATGACAGAGCTGAGAAGAAAGGGAATAAATATAAGAATCTTCATCTTTCTATAACATTCCAGCTCCATCCCAAATGTAATGATGTGAAAGATTGAGGTAAGACCTCTAGCAGAACTTCCCAAAGGATTAGTAAGTAGATACACAAGTGGTGACTACGAAAAGCATATGAAGAGGAATGGAGGATGAGAAACTTTCATTCTGATGATGGAGTTTCATCTGGATAAAGGAAAGTAGATTAGACGACTCAACCCCTTGGTTCCCCCACTGGACCCCCCTCTTAGAAGATCATAAAGCCATTTGAGATAGATGAAGGTGGCCCTCTTGAAACAAAAAATATATATATCTTTTCGGGGGTCCTGAGAGGAATGAATGAGGCAGCTGGATTCTGGGAGAAACTCACTATGTTTAAGGACAGGGTGTGAAGGAAAACACCCCTATCAATGAATAGATATGGGACTTAATTCGGTGGAAAAACAACCAGTGGGGACAGAGGAGATGTCTCTGATATCTAGCCAGGAGAATGAGAGCCAAGAGATCGCCAAAGAATGAGAGAGATAGTGTTGTTACATAACTGAGATTTCTAGTCTCTGTTAGCTCAAGGTGGCAACCAGAACCCGGGCACATTCCTATCACAGGAAACCATAGTCCACCCACCTCCCAGCTGACAAGAAGAGTTGGGGGCTGGGAACTCAGTCCTTAAAAGAAATATGGGTGGGACAAGAAGGAGGTGAAGTCGCTAAAGGGAATCAAGTCGCTAAAGGGAATCAAGGCTCGAGAGAGAGGAAGACTGAATTGTTAGGACCTCGCTTCACTACGCCAGCTCCACTGTCTGATTCCCTCGCAGCTGTACTATCACTAGCTCTCATTCACTGGACACCTTCTTTTTCTGGATTCTCTTCTATGGTGATTAAGCTCTCAGCTCCCCACAAGGTACCTTAAAAGCTGTCAACTTTCCCATCTGACAGTTGAGAAACTTGAGTTTCATGGAGGAATAATGACTTGTACACAATCCCTATCAATAGCAATGGCCAACTTTTCTTGAACATTGACTGTGAGACAGGCAGGTCCTACAGATGAGGACATGTATTAACCCTTTGAGGTTGAGAGCTATTTGTTATTCTCCCCTTTTTACATATGAGAAAACAAGGTTCAGAGGAGTTAAGTAATCTCCCCAAGGACCCTCAGCAAGTTAGAGGTGGAGCCAGAATTAAACACACATTCTGGGCTCCTGGCCCCTCGGCTTAGGTGAAGACCACACTACATGGGCTGTAGGTCAGCCCAGTCTCTTGGGGAAGGAAGAACAGACATTTCTGGAACCCCTGAAGGATGCTGCTCATATATTTGTTTATATAATCTTCACCACAAACCTGTGAATCAAGTGTATATCTTACTGTCTTACAGGTGAGGAAAGGAAGTTCAAAGAGGTAAAATAATTGGAAAAGCCAGGCTTTCCACTATATCCTAGATGAGCGGTTCTCAACCTGTGGGTCGTGACCCTTTTGGGAGTCAAACGACCCTTTCACAGGGGTCGCCGGGTACTTGTATGTGGGCGTATCTGCATGTGGGCCTGGAGACTGATAGAGGAGCGGTGTCTCGGTTCCTAAGACCAACGAAAAGATGTGTTTTCCGATAGTCTTAGGCGACCTCTGTGAAAGGTTGAGAACCACTGCCCTAGATGCTTTTAAACAAGATAAGGGGTGAAGAAATATCCATGAAATGAGCAAATAAGCAAAAGTGCAGAGTGGCGACTCTGCTGGCCTTAAAGGATGAGAGGACAGGACTGGGGTCCAGGTTGGGTCCCTCACCAGCTTTGTTTGCAGCCTTTCTCTGGTCACTGAATGCTCTGAAACCCCATGTCTCCAGCTGTACATTAAATAACAGTGATGTCAACTGCACCAGCTTAATGTGAGGATGAAAGGAAGCATGGAGCATAGAAGACCCTTTAAAGTGTTTAGTGAATCTGAATAGTAGTCTTGAAACAATTTCATGCTTTGCTCTGTTCTCCTCTTGGTAGCAAAGGAGCCTGAGCTCACCTGGGCCCTCCTGCCTTCTGCAGCCTCAGCATCTCTCTCGACCCACCTGCTCCATATACCTCTGAGGCGTTGCTGGGCCACTTCCCCCCATGTGTTAGCAGCATAACACCCACTCCTTTCTAATATACAATAAATAGTTTAGTTCCCACAATGATAGGGATTTTCATTTATTTTTATTTGTTCATCACTGTCTCCAGCCTAGAACAATGTTTGGCCCATAGGAGGCACTTCATAAATGTTTGTCAAATAAATGAATGAGAGAATATTTTGAGACTGATGAACTCTTTAAAAGCCTTGCCAACAATTTTTCATTATGCACATTAAGTAAAAAACAAACATATTGTGACCTCCAAGGTAGGAAGACCAAAAGGTTAACTTCTGCTATGTTAGTAATTGAGCCCCTGAGTTGGAAAGGTGGTGAAAGGCCTCTAGCCACCAATCCTGGGATACTGGTTGTCATTTAGCCACAGGGGCCACACAGTCAATAGCTAGACTCAGATAACTAGATCTTAGAATTCAGATCTGCATCACACAGCTGTGGAGCCATCGATTGTAATATCTGCCCCTCAGAAATGGTTGCTTCACTTACAAGGAGTCACAGCTCCAGGGACTCCCTGGTCCTGGGCCAGCCATGAGGCAAATCAGTGACTAAGCCCACAGGACAAGATGACCATCTCTTCTTTCTAGTAGATCTACTATTGGTAGCAACTATATTTCCCTAGGAAGTTCTCACCATGAGGCATTCTGACTACAATAGTGGCCTATAAAGGACTCTTCTGGTCCCTGAGGTATAAGCAGAGAGGAAAATCTGACTTTAGCAGAAGACACTGCAAGTGGATGCTTAGCCTGGATAAAAGAATAAAAACCTCCCAGCCTAATTTCCTGGGAAGCCTGTGGATCTATTTGGCCTTTCCCCTGTCCCCTGTTCCACTGGTCTATACATGGAAAGGGTGGGGGAAGGGCTGGTACTGTGAATCAAGTGTTCACATTCACACTTAATGATTTCCTTAGCACCAATCATATATTTCACCTTTGCACTTCTTGTATTTCAATAAAAATGGAGATGGAAACTGCCAAAAGAAAAATAAAAGCAAATCCCACAAAATCAAAACTATGTACTATTTCAAAGGTCTATTCAATCAGGTTTATTCACTTATTTGAAAAGAAAGTGGACGTGCTGCTAAGTGACTCATGCCGGCAGAGAACCCACCCCAGAAGAGCATTTCTGGTGTTTCTTGGTGTCCTGCCCCTCAAAAATGGCTACTCCATTTGCAATAATATGTATAATGCTTGTTAAAATGTCCAAACATCATAAACTCAATATGTGACCTAAAACACACAGTAAAAAGATTAAACAGAAAGACACTCAAATGTTTGCCAGGGTGACTATGGAGTATTAGAAAAGATTTTCTTTCTAATTTTTTCTATTTTTCAGTTTCTAGAATGAGCATATATTATTTTTGTCATAGAAATCAAATCAAATAGCATTTACTGTAAGAAAGGGCCCTTTTCAGAGTGTCCCCAGGACCCCAGCCCCACCTGGATACTGACTAGTCCTCTGGATAAATGACAGTTGTTCCCCAGAACTGTGAGCTAAAGGTCATCATGTACCCCAGGCGTCACTCTTCCCCGCCTTCTCCAACCTCTTTCTCTGCTGGATACAGTCATGTGCTCACATCCAGACCCCATCCCAACCCCAGTCCAGCCTCAAGCCCTCCCCACCTCTCATGCACTCTTGTTCTCATGATCTGATCATCCAGCTGCCCTTGCCTTCACCCCTCTCCCACCCCCAAGCTGTAGTGCAGGCACCTCCCAGACCACACACACCCAGCCCAGAGTGTCCTGTTCTAAAATTCAGATTCCAGTCTACCCTATGCCCTCAAGCACATGTCCCTGAAAAGTGAATGTGTATGCAGCTGATTCATGACTTGTTCCCTTCTGCTCCTAGAGGTTCCTCTTCCTGGGCAGCCACAGGACAGAGCAGCAGGGCACAATCAGCCCCACAGGAAGAGGACACGAAGGCAGTGGGATTTGGGGCTGACGGTGGCTCTGGTGCCTCTATACCCAGACCCTCGAGTTGGAGAAGGCATCAAATCAGGACACAGATGGAAGTCACTGCTGAGACCTAGCAGAGGCAACTTGAAGATTCCTCAGCCACTGCCCCTTCCATCCATATTCCCCCCAACTCCCCATCCCACCCTCTCTGATCCAAACACAACACTGAGCTCAGGGAAGGAGAAACTTCCTCTAATTTCACCCTGAGTCAAACACACGTGGAAAGAGGAGCTGCCGCCTGCCCTGCCCTGCCTCAAATACTGCCCAGAGCACTCAGACTCACGGCTTTCCTGGCCCTGGTTCCAGCACCAGCGCCATTACCGTGGATGACCCTATCCAGGACGTAGAGTCTCTCTGAGTCTGTTTTTGCTTGTCGTCCTTGTGAAGACCCTTCTCTGAATCACAGAGGCCTCCTCTAAGCTGCCCTTGTGTTTGGCATCTCCCCTCCCTGGGTTCAGTCACAGAACTGTTACTTAGCTAAGTGAACTAATGTGGTGATTTCACTTTATCTTACAGGGTCTGCTTAGCTCATCAAACTTTCCCATATTCATTTTCTCATGAAAGCCCTGGGATGTTTCTCAACGTAAGGTGGAGACAAAACAGCACACTCCTTAGCAAGTTGTGGTGAAGATTAAATAAGTAGACGTGCATGAAGTGTGTGGCGCAGAGTAAATGCTCAGTAAGCACCAACAATTGATACTGGCCAGGGAGCAGCCCTCCCATCTTATAGATGTGTGGATAATTAAATGGGCCAGGGTCAGGCTGGAACCCAGGTCAGCACTGAACAGGACTCTCATGAGACAAATGCACCCTGGGTCCCCCCGAGGGCAGCGGCCAGTGTGGAGTGGCGGAACCCTGCTTGCCTCCATGACTTTGGGCCTCTCTGAGTCTCACCATCCTCATTATAAAGTGGGATATTATTAACCACCCCAAGGGATTTGAGGAGAAAAAATGAGATGAAGTTCCTTGAGCACCTGTGCGTTCCTTGTATACAGCAGATGCTCAGGGAATGTCAGGTCCCCATGGCTGCCCACCAAGGACTCCCAGCCCATACAGTGTCTTTATGCAAGCTAGGAGAAGGCCCCCTGTGAGTGGCTGCAAGGAGCACAGCGTAAGCTAGATTTCATCTCCAACATGCCCCTTAGCTGGCAAACTTGAACAGTGAACACCCTAGACAACTGTATGCAGCAGCCCCATTCCCAGCCCCTTTCCCACCGCACATTCATCTGCTGTTCATTTCTATGACTGGTCAGTCAACCCTATAAATGCTAAGAAACAACCCCTGTCTGTCTTGTATCCCCCTGTGTCATGGTCACTCCTTTTCCTCTAGGGCATCTTACCTGCCTCTCTGGAAGCTAGAAGGAAGAGGAGGCAGCAGTGGAGGCCAAAGGTGGAGCGCATGCAGTGGACCAACTGGGCCATGTCGGACCAGACCACGCTGGGCGGCTGTGTGAGGCTGTGGGCTGGGGTCCCCTCACCTTATATGGGACCAGATTTGACGTCATGGGGGCTGGGGCCCCTCAGGCCTAAACCTTAAACAAACGGAGTGGCTCCACCCCACAGGGGTGCCCTGATAACGGAGACCGCAGCTGCTGTGTCAGGGAGCCACGTACCTGGGCGCCTGCCACAGGGGTGGGATCTGAGGGAGGGAAAAGGAACCGGGAGAGGACAGACTCCTGACCCAGCCCCAGCGGAGGGAGAGGCGGTTAGGTAGGGGGGGCCTCCAGGGTCCTGGGGAGGTGGGAGCAGATAGCGGGGTTCTAGAAGGGCTGAGTTCTGGCTGGGCAGGACGGGGAGGGGTAGATTGGATGCCCCGTTTGGGTTCGGGAGGAGATTCCGGTTCTGGTTCTTCTCTGGCTTCTCATTTCCTCTCCAGCCTCTGTCGCGTCAGCGCAGCTCTCCACACCCCTTACTCACACATGCCGCTCTTTTTGCCCTGGGTGGAGTGCCCATGAGTATCAGGTGAAAGAGTAAAGAAGGGGAAGCCCTCACATGGCCTGCCACTGCAGACACAGGCGCCTCCGGATGTCCAGGGATGGCACAGAATGTAGAGACAGTGGGGTCAATGACAGAGACCAGGGACAAGGCAGACACAGAACCCCAGGATCTGACGTCACATGCCTTACCAGGGACGAAGACAGGTCCAGGCCACCCAGAGACATTGAGACCAAGATCTTTGGCAGAGATGTTCCGTGTGAAGGGAGCTTTGCCTCCCCCATGCCGCCTTCTCCTACCTCAGTCCAGTGGCCCTCTCTCTGCCTCAGCCCCCACCTCTGTCCACCCCTACTCAGAAATGCAGGTCCTTCATTTCTAGGGTCTCCCGGATTCTCCCTCTTCCCTTCCTCCTGATTCCTTGTCTAAAGAAAGCATTAGCTCAGAGGCTGCCCAAATTCATACACTGGGCCCCCAAGTGGCAGTGCTTGTGGGGGGAGGGGCAGTGCTCTAAGAAGAGAGAAAGCCTTGGGTCCAGGCGTCAAGTCACCACCCCTATTGCTCACTTAATCTGTTCATGGTGGGTCTTCTCTCATGCTAAGTAAGCACCCAGCAGGCAAGGTCTTTGTCTTGGTCACTGCTGCCTCCCCAGCCCCTGGGACAGTGCCTGGCACACCAGAGATGATCAGTAAGTGCTCAGCGGGCTGAAGGGAGCGGAAGCCAGGGCCGGCCACTGCCCCTCTGGGGGAGCGGTGCAGGCACAGGGAATGGAAAAGGCCAGGACCTAGAGGGCAAAAGGCCAGGGCCTTGGAGCAATGGGGCTCATGCGAGGACATGAGGGCCAAACATGTGAATTCTTCTCATTGCTTGGTGTGACTAGTCTCTAAGCCCTAGGCAGGGCTGGAATGGGTGGGAAGAGGAGAACGGGCCAACTGCTTATTAATGCGATTAATGGGAGATTAATGAGTCTCCATGGAGTCAAGCCAAGACTGACTACTCAGAACTGGGCAGCCTCCTTCCCAGGCAATGCGTCCTGCAGGATAGGGAAACTGAGGCAGAGGCAGGCCCTCCCCTGCAGCTTCCTCTGGACTCCAAAATGGCTGACAGCTCCCTTTCCACTAGTCTGCTACCCACCCTTTCCCCAGGGAGCCAAGCCTCTAAGAAAGGGGTTCTCAACAGGAGGGGCAGTTTTGCCCCACAGGGGACATTTGGTGGTGTCTGGAGACATTCTTGTCACAGCTGGGCGGGGGCTGCTGCTAGCATCTAGTGAGTGGAGGCCAGAGATGCTGTTAAACATCCTATAATGCACGGACCCGTCCCCACAACAAAGAACTCTTCAGCTCTGTCTGTCAGCAGTGCTGAGGTTGAGAATCTCTGCTTTCGTTGTGTAAATAAATACCCCTCTCCTTTTTAGTCACAATCTCCCCCCCAGAGGACCCAGGTATCTGGGAGAGAGGAACCTGGAGAGAGGTGGAGGCTCAAGTATGACAAGGTTGTTGCATCTGAGGTACAAGCTGAGGGGCTGGTCACAAAACAGCTCTACCAGCAACTGACCCCCGAACATTTCTATATACCCAGGAACATGCTCAGCTCCTATGACGGCAGCAATGTCAGCCCCATTTTACAAATGAGAATAAACAACCTCAGATCAGGCAAGTGACTTGCCCAAGGTCACACGGCTTGTAAGCAGCAGACGCCAGATGTGGCTGGTGCCTGCCTGATGGCAAAGCCGAACCATTTAGACAGATACACAGTGGCTGGGAGACCAGGGGAGGAGAGGCTGTTTTACTGAGCAAGAATTGTGTCCACCATCCACCCAAAGTGGGCTAAAAGNAAAAAGAAATTTAGTTAGGCTTTAAAATGATCTTTTGGGTCACTTTGTTGCATTTATCCTTCTCAAGTTATTAAAGCTTAAAACTGCACTGAGACTTCTGGAATATCCCATCACTAATATCTAATCCTCATCACACCCACGGCCTGGACTATAACTATGCCTGGTTTAAAGATGGGGAAACTGAGGCACGGTCACACAGCTGGCAAGTATCAGCCTAGCGACAGAGTCCCACTCTTGTCCCCTGTGCTAATACTGCCCCTAAGACGGCGCGGCAGAAACAGTCTTCCAGAGACTCCGTAGCAAAGTACAAACCACTACTGTAAATGACCCCCTGGCAGCAGTGCCCTTTAAAAGACTGCTCCCCACCCTCTAGCAGTAGTCCCACGCCAAACACCAGGAACGTGGCTCACCAGGCTGCGGGCACTGGGGTAGGGGGCAACAGAGATGCTGGGGGCAGGGGAGCCGCCGGGCCTGGCGGGCAGCCTCTGCCAGAGCTCTTCAGCCAGAAAGGGCATCAGTGGGGCCAGGAGGCGGAGACCGACATCGGCGCAGGAGAACAGGACCTGAGGAGGCCCTGGGGGGCGGGGCGAGAGCGACAGCACAGGCTTCACAGCCTCCTAGGGAAGAAGTCTGCGGGTCAGGGTCAGGGTCATGGCCACGGCCACGGCCTTCCTCCACACACCCGCTGCCCTAGCAGTCGGGACGCTGTGGGTTCGCACACCATCTCAGATGTCATCGGCTGTCCCGTGTAAAAGGGAAATCTAGGGCAGGGATTCTCAGAAGTGCGTGGGGAATAAAATTGTCAGGAAGGTTGTGTAGTTTATAAAGAAAAGCACTGAGTTTTTTGCTTATGAAAAAGATAGATTTCAAAGGTTGAGACACAGTGATCTAGAGCGGCAGTCCTGAGCTATCAGCATCACCTGGGACAAAAACTGAACACTAGCCACTCCACCCCGACCTGGTGAATGAGCGTCCTGGGGGTGTGGGGTGGGGCCCGGCACTGGTGCTTAACCAGCTCTCCATGCGGAGATGCTCACACAGGCGCAAGTGTGAGAAGCCCTGGCCTAAAAGACCGCCATGTTCCTCCCAACACCGTACAGCTCCCGGCCTGCCCAGGGTCCGAACACAGCCATCACAGAGACTGAGACGGAAGCTCCGTCTGCCTCCTGACCCTGCTTCGTCAGGCTCTGTTTCCTAGAAGTCTCCCTCCCTCCTCCTCTCTCCACAGGTGACAGGCTCGGAGCAGTGACTAGGCCAGTCCCAAGGAAGAGGGGAGCTGGGATTCCCCTGGCTCATCCGTATTTCTGTCCTCTCCTCACTGAGGACACATCGGGAACCTAGCTCAGAGCTCTGTGTCAGGGAGCCCAATCTTGGGGAACAAGGGGGGCCCCCGCCACACTCACCAAGTAGACATCACACAGGTTGTGGAGCCAGAAGTGGCGCAGGGCGTGGGCGACGAGTGGGAGCTCTCGGGCGAGGAAGCCTCGCTCACACTCGTGGGCAGTGCGGGCCAAGCGGCTCAGGATCCAGGTGTCCATGGGGGAGGACGGGGACAGCTGCAGGGTGGGTGCAGGGTGGGGACGGCTCCTCTCCCACTCCTCTGCCTGTCCTCCCAGCTGCCCCCTGCCCGGGGCCCAAGCGCCTCGCCTCTCTCACCTCCTCTGAGGGCCTGGGCACGAACTCCCCGCCCAGGGCACCGAGGATGAAGCGCAGGGCATTCCAGATCTTGTTGCAGAAATGCCGGGAGCTCAGGACCTCAGAGACAGACAGGTGTAAGTCACCCCCTGGGATGGAGAGGAGGGAGTATGCAGGTGGACAGCAGTGGCGCAGGGAGGCCTCGGCCCCACCAGCCCCTCTGCGCCCCACGCGCCTCGCCTGGGCTTACCCAGGGCCCCGTGGGAGCACAGGGTGAATCTCAGGGCATCAGTCCCACATTCGGGGATCCCGTGAGGAAAATCCTTTCTCTGCAACCAGAGGGAGAGGAGGGATGGCAGGTGCCTATGAGGCTGCAGGGCCAGTGGCCATGAGCGAGGCCAGATGGGCAGACACGGGACCCACCTGCGCTGCAGCCGCCATCGCCAGCTCTTCGGGGTCCAAGTTCCCATCCCTCAGCTTTTCCTGCAGCACCTGCATGGATCGTATGCACTGGCCTCCGTCCAAGACCCCCACAAGGGTCCCGCCCACTGTCCCCCAGCCGGGGCTCCCTTCCTCTCCCGGCAAACCCCACCCCTCCCCGGCTCCTCCTCCTGACCTGCAGCTCCACCCCAGTGATGATGTCTCGCGGGTCCAGCACGTTCCCCAGGGACTTGCTCATCTTCCGGCCCTGCTTGTCCCGAACCATGGAGTGGAGAAGCACCTGGGGCACAGAGGGGCCGGCAGAAGGGAGCTTGGAGAGCCCGTCTCTGGAGGATCACTTGGGATCATCTCTGGTGCTTTAGGGGTGAGGGTGGGAGGTGAACCGGGAAACAGGTGTCGGGCACACGGAAAACACCAGTCGGCTTGGGGAACCTGGGGAGCTACAGAGCGGGACGGGGCGCTGAGGGCTGTTACCTGGTGGAAGGGGAGCTGCCCTGTGAGCTGGGTCCCCAGCATGACCATGCGGCCCACCCAGAACAGCAGGAGGTCACTGCCCGTTTCCAAAAGTGACAGGGGGTAGAAACGAGTGAAATCTGGGGTCTAGGAGGAAAAAGACAAGCAGTAAGAGGCCCTAGGCTCCATTTCCTCCAAACTCCCAGGGGCCCAAGCACCCCCCTCACCATCCTCACCTTCACCCTCTTCCGTTCAACCTCACCTCTTGGGGCCATCCCAGGGCAGAGAAGGGGAAAAGCGCTGAAGAGAACCATGTGTCCAGGACGTCAGGGTCTGGGAAACAGAATAGGAAATGGAAACAACTGGATCCTAAGCTCCGAGGACCTCAGCCCGCTGCTGCCCACCCACCCTTCCGGCCCAACCCCGACCCCGACCCTACCTTTCCCAGACCCAGGCGCCCTCCCGGCCCAGGTACTCACCCCTCTGCAGGGTCAGCTCCTCCCCTGGTCTCCCCATCAGTTCTGCAGCTACTTCTCTGGCCTCAGCCTCTGTCNACCACCACCATATGAAATTAGAGCCTGACTCCTTTGGAGGGGGGGTGAACGCAACAGTTCCCTATGGAGCACCCCTGTGGATGAGGGGAAGCACAAGAAGTGGGAGAGGAAAACTAACTCATGAAAGTTCTCCAGTGTCCTTTAAATTATCCTGAGATAGCCTAGAGGAGAGGTAGCTGAGGGCCCCAAAGGGCGCAGTAGTCCATGACTTGCCTCTAGCTTGCACCAGTAGGTAGGAGACACCCATGGGTCAAGTGTGTAGGCCCCAAACAAGTTAGGGGACTTGATATTTGGATCTTCAAAAGTCTGGAGGAGCAGACAGCTAACTGCTCCTGAGCCTGGTTCCTAAATCTCAGGACCTGGGATTACTGGGCTATGATTTCCAGATTTTCTCCAAAAATTCCCTTTCTCAAAGAATTGTCTTCCCAGACCCAAGATAGAGCCGTGCAAAGAATGCTTTGGGTTCATTAGAACCTGGGGTTGGCAGAGATTGCTCCCTGTCCCCTAATAAGCATTCTCCTCCTCGTGGATAGTCATGTAAATTTTAGCTGAGCTTCTGACTCATTCCATTTCTCAGCCTCCCTTGCAGCTAGGAATGCCCGTGTAATTAGGTTCTGTTCAACGGGATACAGGCATAAAGTATACAACTTCCTGGTAATAGCCTTGAAAGGAAAAGAGCTGCTATTTCAAAGGGAAGAAAACAAAGTCTTTACAACAGCCTAGAGGGTCCCAGGCCAAGGCATTCCAATAGAACTTTCCATGGTGGAAATGTTTTAGAACATATGGTAGCCACTAGCCTCATGTGGCTATCAAACACTTTGTGTCTAATGTGAGGAATTGAATGTTTCACTTTAATTATTTTAGTCAAATGGCTACCATTTTGGACAGCACAGTCCCAGGTAATCCATCTCGAGACTTCCCTGCCCCTCCTCCTCAGCTCATGCCTGACTTCACTTCCCACTCCTCTCCCCTTCAGATATGACGGCTTAGATGACATGGACATCTCTTTTGCTGGGCAGAAGCAGTGCAGGGCTCTGCCGTAACGGGGCCCACACCCCTTTTAATCTTATCTTCCTTCCTCCTTGCTACTCTTCGAGCACTCCAGGTGTGCTTCCATCTTAGTTTTGCTCTGGCTCTTCTACCTGGAACACTGCTCCCAGACATCCGCTTGGCTAATCTGAAGCTGGGTTACAGCAGCCAGAAAGAACCTGCATGAAACTTATTGGGTTGAATCTCAGTTGATACTTTGGGCAAGCTACTTTTATTCCCTGAGCACATTTCTTCATCTCTCAAATGGAGAGAACACCCACCTCTGTGGTTCTCAGGAGGATTAAGTGGCACCAAGGAGGCCCCAGCCTGTGACAGGCCTGCCATAAATAGAAGCTACTCAGAGCTGCTGGACAGAATGGAATTTGGGCGTGGGGGAGCCAGGCCCCTGAATTCCGCTGAGATGAAGCAAGGTGTTTGGGGTGGACAGGTGGGCGTCTGCGCATGTGCGTGTACCTCCGTCAGGGGCTGGGCAGTGTGTCCCTGGCACTCTGGTCTCAGGTACACAGAAGTGGAGTGGGGCACTCAACCCCAGCACACCCTGCAGCACCTCAGGCCTGGAAGAAGTCCCTGCTCCTTTCAGCACCCCCTGGGAATAGGGCCAAGGAGCAGGAACACTTCCATTTGGCAAGAAGCGGAGAAGCAAGGGCTGCAAACATTGGAGCATTGTCAGTAAGTCCAGGAAGGAGGTGGAACCCCAGCACTGCGCGAGGCCCTACTAGAAAGCGCCTCTTTCTTCCCACAAGGCTGGCACCGCACGGCACCCACACTCCCACTGTGACCCAAGCCCGAGGCTAAGAGGCCACCCTCCTCCTTTCCCAGACCAGAGTCTCAGGGAACAAATGAAAGGCAAGAAAGTCACCACTAGGGGAAAGAGGGATGCAAGAACCACAGGCAGGCATGTTTGAGATTTTAAAAGCTTATGGGACTTTCTTCATTCCTAAACTCCCAGGTGGGACTGCACAGGAGGAAAGCTGGGGTAGAAATGTGAGCATCTCAAGTGACCCACAGTCACTCTGACCAAGTTAGTATGTTTCCTCAGTTACAAAATGAGGGAGGTGGACCACAGGGTCTCTGAGGCCCCATCACGCCGACAGCCGCCCAATCAGTCTGTCCTCAAAGGCGGGAGGAAAGCCTCCAAGGATGGTGAGTGAGAGCTCAGGGTTCCCTGGGGCTGGGAGAGGCGTCTACCAGCTGTCGGAGGTGAGAGGCCGCCTTGTCCAGTTTCGACAACTCCAGCTGAAGGGAAGAAAGCTGAACAAGGACAAGGAGAGAAGCACACAGCACGCAGGTGAGGCCCACCGCTCCAGTCCACATTCCCTCCAGAGGGGGGCTTCCTGGGTGGCCTCTCCCGCCTCACCCTTTGCTGCCTCCGGGTCTCTGCCTCTCCCTCTGACAGGGTCCGGGCTATAAGGTTGTCAAGCTGCTTCTGCAACTTGTGTCTTCGGGCAGCTAGCAGAGGTAGATGGGTCTGGGGGTCCACCAGGCCCTGCGGGAGAAGGGAGACATCAGCAGTCCGCCCAGCACCTCCCTCTTCCCCATGCTAAGATCCCTCCTCACTTTTATAGAACTCACCCCTCGCCCTCCTCCCAACACCCTTTCTGACCTCTCCCCCCACCTCCTCTGGGTACCTGCAGCTCCATGTAGACCTGAATGGTGTCCCCAAGTGGGGCCTGGGCCCAGCCAGAGGGAGCCGCTGCACCTGGGGGTAAGAGCCCCACGGCCCCACAGTGGCCCAGGGTGCCCAGAGGCTCCAGGAAGGCCTCAAAGAGGCCCCGCTCTCCAGGCTCTGAGCTCTGCAGCAGCACTGTGGAGGAAAAAGAAACTCAAGGTCAAGGCCTGAGATGCGGCCTCCCTTCCCGTCCTGCACCTCCTGACTCTGGACTCTGCCCTCAGGCTCTCCCCTCTGCCCCACCAGCCCCTTCTTTCTGCGGGGACTCAGGAGCCCAGGACATGCCTCACCTCGGGGCCGGGCCTTGGTGAGCTGGTACATGGCTCGGAGAGCCCTCAGCGCCTGCACGGCCTCCTGGACCCGGGAGAAGCGCCNCTCCCCCAAATACCTGTGCTAAGGCCTGAGTGGCTGTAGAAGGGCAGGCCAGGGCTTCAGACATCTCTTCTGTTCATCTGAGAAGTGAGGTGGCCACCATGAGGACCGGGCTGCCCCTCTTCCTCCTCCTGACCTTCCTTGACAGCTCACATGAAATAGGTAAGGGCTGGAGGGTCCTCGTGACAAGAAGAGGCCAAGAAGGGGATTGAGAGAGATGGAGGCACCCCAGTCACGAACTCGCCCCGGTTCAGGCTGAAGCCTGCCTGGAGAGGCTCTGGAAGGGCATTGTTGGGGAAGGGGAACTTGGGCGGGGGCGGGCAGGAGGCGGTGTCCACATCTCCCAGGGAGTCTGGCTGTGTCCTAAGCTGTACTTTTGAATCCCTAGGGCCAGGAATGACTTTGCAACTGAAGCTGAAGGATTCCTTTCTGGCAAATTCCTCCTATGATTCCAGCTTCCTGGAATTGCTCCAGAAGGTAGTTCTTTGGGAGGAGAAAGGATAGGGCTGTGTGAACTCCGAGTGTATTACTGAATAGGTTCGGGCCTCTACTGGTGCCGGGCCGTCTCCAGGTCAGAGCCATCTTACATCTCTCTCTCTAACCCTTTCTCTTCCCCAGCTCTGCCTCCTCCTCCACCTCCCGTCAGGGACCAACGTCACCCTCCATCGGGCAGGATCCCCACACCATGTCATCTGCGAAGTCTGAGAGCAATCAAGCCTGGGCCACCACCCCCACCCCCCACCCCCCGCTGGGGCATCTGGCCCTCTGGGGTACAAGGGGGATGCCCTGGCCCCATCTTCCAGTAGGCTTTCGCCCTACCGAATGTCAGTAAATATGCTGAATTCAATGACTATGTGGGTTCATGAGCAGAGGGCCAGCAGGAAAAAGGAATCAGAGGCCCAAGTCTCTGACTCTCCCTCGTGAAGCAGAGGGATTCCCAGGTGGACTCTCTCTTCCTCAAAGCCAGTGTCAAAGGCCTAGAAGGAATTTGGGGAATTAACTGTCTGGGGACACACACACACCACAGACATACACATGAGCTGAACTTACACTTCAGAACACCTGGGAATAAGAAAATGAAACACTGAATTCCTACTTTGTTCCAGGCGTGACACTTTCCCATGTCAATGCTTGCAGCAATCTTAAATGTAGCATAATAGGTATCGTTATCCAATTTTATAGGTGAGGAAATTGAGACTTAGAGAGGGTAGGCCACTCACCTGAGGTCCAGTAACAATGGAGAGATCAGACACCAGACAAAAGACTTGGCTTAAGCAAGATTTTAATTTCAATTTCTTCTCCCTTTGCTTAAATTGTGGGGCTGGGGGCTCAGAACCGAGACAGGGATGTGAACAGAACAATGCCAAGGTATGGACCTCCTGACTCAAGGATCCACCCAGGTCAGTCAGGGTAGGATGTGGGGTGGGAGGCAGCTCAGGTGAGAGATGAGAGGTTCAGCTTGGGAGAGGATAGCCAGCTGGTGTAAGTGGTGGGGGAAAGGCAATGGGTGCTAGCGGAGTTTGTACTATCTAACCGCGAGGGCGCGTAGTCACACAGGCCCATGCTTGAGTTCTAGGTGAGTTTCTTNTTTTGGGGCCCTGCTGACTTATGCATGGCCCAGCCAGGAACCCTGCCCAGAGCTGCAGGCCCAGCTAGAGTGCTTCAGAGATGTGTTGTGCAACAGAAATATCACCTGGCAAAATTGAGACAGTCCCTGAAGTGCTCCCAGAAATGGTTGGGGCTAAAGTCTGAAGATTACTGGGAAGACACTCAGAGGTTGACCTGTTGAGAAACTCGCAGACATGGTGGGGACACTCTCTGAGATGGTGGAAAAGAGTCACAGAGATAGCAGGGAAATCTGCAGAGACAGTGGGGAGACCACCAGGCAGTGGGGAGACAACCAGAGATAGTGGGGAGACCTGCAGAGACAGTGGGGAGACATGCAGAGATAGTGGGGAGACCTGCAGAGATATCCCAAAGATAGAGAGCCTTCCCAAGACAATTGGGATGCCCCTGGATACTGTGTTGGAGGTCTTCAGTGGGGTTATCTGAACTGCTGGAAAAAGAACAATGAATGATATGATGGAGTTAAAGGGTGGCCCCCAGCACCCAGCACCAGCTCCCAGCACCCTATCAAGCCTTGTGCTCACTGTGTCCAGCCAAGGCCTTCAGGCCCAGGAGCAGCACTAGAGTAGCATCCATACTGTGGTGGATGTGCCTTCCCAGGCCCATCTCCATGACTTTTTAAAGGCTCCGAGGCTCATTACGAGTCTCTGAAGAGCCAGGTGTGCCGGGACCTCCATCAACACTAGGATCTCCATCCCCAGAGAGAGGTCACCAAGCTGTTCCCAAGGATTAACCTGTCCTAGCCTGATCCCTGGAAGCACTGGGCAAGGGTGAGAGTGAGTAAGAGCTTAGACGCCCCTACCTCGCCCTCAGACTTTTCCTGGACTAGGGACCCATATCCCCCAGGCCTGAGTCAGTCCCCCGCCCAGATCCTCCTGGAAGGAGGGAAACCAGGTGTCCTATCCCAAGGTCTTCCTTTTGCTGCTAGAGGTACAACTATCAGGGGTGGGAATATGGGTCTCTAGAAGAAGCAGGGTTTGAGGGCTGGGTGGGGATAAGGAGCGTCATGGTCTGGGGACTGCATCTGACCCTTAGGAGACCCAGGGCAGGACAAGAGAGTGAACACTGAGTCATCTCTCATCTAGACAGCGACATCCTCAACGTTTTCCATTCTTTGGGTGGAGGAGGGGAGAAGAGGAGCACCAGGGAAGATCCACATCATGTCGGGGGACAGTGCAATGCCCAAGTCCAGAGCTAGGCCTGAATCCTGACTGCCCTGAATCCACTGAGCTGGACATACTGCTTCCAAGCTGGCTCCGGCAAGCCACCCTTAGAACAAGGTTATCTAGTAACTAGTTCAAATGGGTCGTTATGAGCATTAAGAAAAATGCTTCTAACGCGCCCAGCACCCAGCAGTGTCAGCTACGATTACATAGAAAGGGAAAGACACAGGGATGCTCCCACTNCATCACAGAGCAGGGTTTCTCACCTATCCTGAGCTGACAGAATCGGGGGTCTCAGGAAGACCAGGAGCCAGCCCAAGGGGGCTCCATGTGGGAGGAAATGTGAAGGGGTAATCCCCGTCCTGTGTCCTGGGGAACCCAAGCAAAGTGGCCTGAGCTAAGGAGCACCTCTGAGAGTTGGGGAAGAGCGTGGGAATGGGAAGACAGAAGGAATAGGAGCAAAGGTTCCAACTGCCTGGAGCCAGGCTCTGTGTGGGCGGAAGACCCCTGGAGACCATCTGTCCTGGTCCTTCTTTCTACAGACGAGAAAACTGCACCAAAGAGTCAGTCAGGCAGGAGGCTGATGGCAGGACCGAAACTGGAATCTCTACCTCCCATTGGGGTGGGACAGTGGACTTCCCCTCACACTGTGGGTGGATGGAGGAGACCTAGGGGCCCCAGGAATCCACCTGCAGAAAATAATCCCAGTTAGTGTGAATGGAAGGCTTTTTATTTTTTTAGTTTTCCTTAATGGTGCCCCAAATGTCTCTGTTTTTATTGAGGTAACACTGGTTTATAACATTATATAGTAATACCTTGGTTTGTGAGCATAATTCGTTCCAGAAACAAACTATTTGTATTGCAAGACATCGCTCGTTTACCACGTTAAAATGTATTAGAAATGTTTGCTCGTCTTGTGGAACACTCGCAAATAAAGTTACTCTCAGTCCAAGGTTTTATAGCATAAGTTTCAGGTGTACAACATTAGAATTTGACATCTGTAAATACTATAGCGTGCTCACTACCAAAAGTCGAGTTTCCATCATTTAACATACAATTAACCCCCATTACCCATTTCACACTCTCCCCACTCTCCCTGACACCGTCCCCTCTGGTAACCACCAATCTATCGTCTGCCTCTGAGTTTGTTTTTGTTTTGTTTTATTGAATGAGTCTGTTTAGGAAAGGAAGAAGGAAGGCCAAAGATAAAGTGGCATTTGGCTATCCTGGCCCCACCCCTTCACTTGACAGACCGGGGTCACAGAGCCACAGCCACATCCCACACTCATCTCCTTCCGGAACTGGCATGCCTGTGAGATGAGGGGTGGATAGGATGGTTAACCAAAGGCCCCAGGAACCGGGACTGCTGCTTCCCCTCCATAACTCAGATTCTCAGCACTCCTCTTCCAGCAAAAACAGTAGTACCAACGAAGCCGATGAATTTATTCAGCACTTACTATGTATCAAGCAGCTAAGTGCTTTATATACATAAGCTCATTTCATCCTCCAACCGCCCTTTGAGATAGTTACTATCATTCTCATTTTCTCTAAGACTCTGTTATCTCAGTATCACCTATATCATAGGGTTGTTGTGAACTAAAATAAGTACAGCACCTGACACATAGTAAGTGCTGTTTAAATATTACTTGTTAAATATTACTTGTTACAGAGAGCTTAAAGAACTTGCAAAAGGCCACACATCTGTAACTGTAAGATTCAAAACATGGCTCCACAGAGCTGATACTTCACTGCCCAGAGCTGAATTTAGTGCTTCCATGGGCTGGTTGGCCTCCAACACTCCCCAGCCTCTCTCTCAGTGGCCCCAAGCCCCCATCTCTGCCTGGTCAATGTTTCCTCTCAGCCACCCAGGCTGGGGTTCCCTTTTCCCCTTGCCCTTTCCTAAGTGTGGCAAGCTGTCCTCCTTCTCCCTGAAGCCCCTGTTCTTCTCAGAGTCCTGGGGCACCAGGTCCCAGCCCCACTGGCCTTGGGGACCCATGCATTCAGACCATAATTTCACTCACCTTCTTGATACCATACAATAAGCTGACGATTGCTGCCACCACAGTGAGAGTGATCAACACAATGGCCCAGTCTGGGACATGGCCCTTTTCCTGAGGCTTTGGGTCTGAGGAGCNGAGAGTGCAAGAGCATGAGTGACTTCTCAGCATGACCAGTAGGTCCCCCCACCTCCGCGAGAGCGCGCCCCCTCCTTACCCAATGTGGGAAAACCAGTGCTGCCAGTTCTTCTGGTGGAAAGATGGGCTGAGCTCCAAGGCCCCTGACTCCACAGCCTGGAGGGAGAGGGCCTTCAGACAGCTTCCCTTCCCACACCCACGCCCTCCCTGAGGGGACAAGTGGCCTCTGAGGCGCAGAAAGGACCTCCCAGACCCCCTGAGAAGATTCTAGACCTGAGGAAGGACACAAGCCAGCCCTTTCTGGGCCACCTTGCCGCCTGCCTCACAGCTGTCCCCCACTGTCACAGCTAGCGAGGTCTGTGGGGCTTGAGGGCCTCTAGCCTGCCTGTTTCTTCATTCCAGTTCCCAGGGAGCTCTGCGTCCCCAGGCCCCAGTCCCTCCTCGCAGCGCAACCTCACCTGGGCAGCTCGGTCCCCCATCTCCCGGCAGCGGATAAACCACTGGCTCTTCAGTAGGTATTCTACCACGTCCCCGGAACGGCTGAAAGGGAGACGGGGTGAGTCCCCTGCTCCTCCAGCCCTGTGCCTCTCTCCCAGGGACATGGGGCTCAGCAGCAAGTAAAACTGACACAGAGCCCATATTCCAGCATAAGGGGACAGGGCCCACCCCATATCACTCCCTCCAGGGGTGGTCCTAAGTAAAGGAGTTAAAACGGGGTTACCTGCAAATGGGCAGCACCATGGGGTGGTCCTGGAGGCCCCGGAACAGACGCCGCTCGCTCAGTGCGGACATAATCTTCTCCCGGGCCACAAACCGGTGCAGGCCCTGGGGAAAAAGCGGCAACAGTAAAGGTTAAAGGCCTTTAGAGGAATAAGAAAGTCAGAGAGGGGAGGAGGGCAAAGGGTGCCCCCAAAAGATGGGGTAACACTGAGGCCGCTACCACCTGCAGCCAGTCCCCACAGAGGGAGGTCATGGTCCCATCCTCTTCGATGACACTCAGGGGCTTCAAGCCATGTCGGGCCCCCAGCTCAGCGTCAGCAGGGCTGTGAGCTGGAGTCACTTTCACTGCCCCTGGGGGAGCAGAGATGCAGTGAGCCCTGAACCCTGAGCCTGGCATTTGCTTCCCAGAGGTACTGTCATCGCCCACGCCCCCATCCCGCCCCTCCGTTCTCCGTGCCTCCCTTCCATTTCCCGCCACCCACCCAGATTACGCTACACGAGGTTTCCCTCCCCCACTTTCCTCCTCCTCCTGGTTCCACCCCCAGCACCCTGGCTGTCTCCTTCCCCTGAACTCCACTCACCTGTGCCCATGTGTGGCTGGACAGAAGAGTCTGTGATGAGGGGGAGAAGCTGCCCTGTCAAGGGGTGACGAAGTTGTCGCCCATGTAGATGCTGAAGGAAAGGGAGCGGGGTCAGGGACAGGCATATGTGTGGGGTAGAAAGGTCTGGGCAGGTGTGAGAGCCCTGGGAGTAAGAGGGTGAGAACCAGAGGTAAAGAGCCACAGCTGGGGGTCAGCACACGTTTTCTTAAGGGGCTGGAGTGGGACTCTCTTAGGCTCTGTGGCCAAGAGGCAGATGTAGTCTGTGCACAGTGACTCCACTGGCCACTGTGGCGGGGGTGAGAAACAGGCGCGGGGAGACTGAGCCCACGAGGGTAGCACAGACAAAGAGGAGGAGTGTGGACTCGGCCCACAGGCCATCCTCATGACCCCTGAGCTGGAGAAGAAAAGAAGAAAGCAGACTCAGGGCCATCGGAGCTGAGAGAAGTCTTAGGAAAAGGAAGTGGAGGCAGGAGAGAAGGAGGTGCCATCTAACAGGAAGGGAAGAGAAAGCTGGGGGTAGAAAGGCCGGGCAGGGAGCCCTGGGTGTTACTGTGAATCGGGCGTCATCAGGATGAACAGCCACAGCCATGTCCCCAGGCAATGTTTCTGGCCTCGTGGTTCCTACCACGACCTCTGCATCTAAAGACAAAATGCAAGCATGTATAGCTAGTCGTCTAGCTAGTCGTCATCCTCACCCCTCACCCCAGACACAGTTAAAGCCAGGAGAACTGGAATAGGGAAGGGGCGGGGCCGTCAAGGTTGAGCAGGCAAAGTGAGGACCAGTGTCCACAGGAGCCTGGGGTGTCCGTGTAAGCTGATCACAGGCATGGGGGTGTCTAACGCTAAAAAATTCCTTGACAGCTGGCATGGGAGAAACGGGTACGGCATTAATAAAGGCAAATAGAGTCCTTGCTGGGTGCCCAGAGGACACTGGGGGTTCTTGGTGCCCTAATCACAAATGCTGTGCATTCTTTGGGGCTAGCCCAGCCCCTCCTACAAGAAACATCCTGACTGTTCCAGCTCATCTGCCTCCCCTTCTCTGAACTCCTCAGAACACCTACTGTTCAAACCACACTTCAGAGCTGATCTTTTCTCTTTCGGGGGTAGCAGCCTCCTGCAGAATTACGCCAAGCTCCCACAGAGCAGTGGCAGTGGGCACTTTCCTGGCCCAGAATAGCCGGGTAAGTGTCCACAGAACTGCAAACATGACCTGGGTTCCTTATGCCCCTCCCACCAGCTCATGTGGGGAACAGGCTCGTGGGTTCCCTCCCATCAGCCCACCACGGGCTCAAGAAAAGAGGGGAAGCAGAGATGAGTGGGCAACCCTTCCAAGGACTGCCCTTACCGGGCTCTCCTTCCACGGGGAAGGCCACTGAAACAAGGAGGCCGAAGGACACGGGGCTGGGGCAGCCGGGCAGGCGAAGCTCCGTGCGGCCAGGCAGGGGCCGGCTCTCCACCTGCAGGCGTGGACGAAGCAAGGTCTGAGAGCAGCCTTCCTGCAAGGCTCACAGCCAGACCCCTCACCTCCACTCGTCGCCCGCCAGCCTCCCTGCAGCCATTCAGCGGACCCGGGGGCCACCTGCCTCTGCCCTCGCCTAATTCTGGTGCAGCCAGTTATAGTAAATATTCACCAAGCACTTAAACCGCACACAGGTGTCATGCTGAGTGCCTTCCAGGAGTTCTCATTTCATTCTCACAGCACCCCAGGATGCAGGCGTTCCCATCAGCCCTAACTTACAGACTAGGGAAACTGAGGCTTAGAGAGGCTAATAGCCACCAGAAGTCACACAGCTGGTACGTGGCAGGACCGGGATTCACATACAGGCAGTCTGGCTCCAGACTGGGCTTCCACCCGCCTCCGAGTCTCTCACAAACCCACTCTCACGACCTGCTTGTCTTTCTCTGCCTCACCTCAATATCCGAGATGGCAGATCTTAAAGCACACGACCAGTTGACAAGCTGCCGGCCCCGGTACAACAACCCTGCCTTGTAAAGTCGCACGAAAGCTTCGGTCACAGCCACTGAGGAGCCCTAGAACGGCCTGAGTGTCCACATCCAATAGTCCCTTCTCAGCCCATCACCCCACTCGGGACCCAGGCACTCCCATCCTGCCACCCCAGCACACACAGCAACCCGCCTCCCTGCACGGATCTCTAACACCTCCCTGACACCCACAGGAACCAGGCATGAAACGCTCACAGCATCCATAGTGAAACGCTCTCGGTCCCAGTCGAGGGAGGCCCCCAGAGCTCGGAGCTGCTCACAGATCTCTCCACCTTTCCTGTGCCAGAGAGATTTTTGTCAGCGAAGGTGTCCTGTGCCAACAATGTACCACGCCAGTGACCCCCCAGCGATGCTGGGGCTGGAGTGAGTATGGCATTGATCTAGCCTCTAGAAGCTAACAGAGACAGGCTCATGATGCCAGTGTGGAACCTTCTATGACTTTAAAAGAAGCATAATGTTCTACAGTAACAGAGGAAGGGGCAGCCGATTTACAGGAAACCTACAGAAACTGTACAGAGAAGATGGCATGTGGTAACACACCTAAATGAGGGGAATTTCGAGTAGATGGAAAGTGGAAAGGGGTGAGTAGGAGAGAATGGTAAAATGGGATAAGTGGTAAGTGGAAGGGGAAAGAGTGTGTGTGTCTGCACATACACACATAAATATACACATCTTCACATAACACACACACACACACACACACACACACAAACAGCTTGACGACCCCACCAAATGCTAAGAGGCTCCACAGCTTAAGTCTCTGGAAGTTAGGGAAGTTAGGGCTGGATGGGAAGAGTGACTACAAGTTAGGAGAGTGACTAGGAAATGAGGACCCAAACCTGTGCTCTCGGCCCCTGCATATGCCTGGCATACTCACTCCTCCTTCCACTTCCACACCTCCCTGAGGAAGGCGTCCCGGCTCAGGTCACGTCTCCTCACCCTTCGTTCCTTCCACAGTTGTTTCTCCACCACAGCCTACAGTAAGATTAGGGAGCAAATAAACAGAGAATCAGGTCCCTTTGGGAGAAGAAATCTTTCACCCAAGAAAAGGACAAGTGGCAAAAGACATACTTGGGTAGCAATTCCTGCATGATCTGAGCCCGGGACCCACAGCACCTGATCTCCACGCATCCGGTGCCTGCGACAGAAACACCTTCACAGGAACCCAACCTTACACGTTTACCCTCATTCCTGCCCCCATTTTCTCCTTCCCCTCCAAAAACCCAAGCAGCCCCATCCCCTACCAGCGCACGAGAGCGTCCTGGATGGCCACGGTCAGTGCATGCCCGATATGTAGGGAGCCAGTGATGTTAGGAGGTGGGATACACATGGAAAAGGTCTCCCCTGTGGCCTGGGGCAGCCTCATCTATAATAGAAGGAAGGAGCAAAGTCAAAGGGCGAGAGAGAACTGGATGTTACCTGGGGGAATACTGCCCTCTGGTGTCTCCAAAGCAATTCTGCAGGGCAGAGCTCTCCCACAAATAGGAGGGAAGGAGAAACCTCCCAAGAGAATGCTCTGGAGACACCAGGGGCAGGAGACAAGCTCTCCAATGTGGCTGTGAGCTCAGACTCAGGTTCAATTGTGCCTACCAACCTCATGGGCCATTCAGTCCTGGGGACTGCTCAGTAGCCCTCCCTGACAGGTACTAACCTGATATTCCGGTTTGAAGAAGCCCTCTCGTACCCACCAAGGGTACCAGGCAGCCTCAACATATTGGGGGCTGTATGCAGGAGGCAGTGGCTGGGAGACATCTGTGGAGGCAGAGGAGAGGTTCCACTAACTCAACTTTGTTCCCAGGCTGCATTTCAGCTGACCAAATGGGAAACAAAGATGTGAGCGAACAGGCCTTCAAGTTTCCTAGTTACCTTTCTTTTCACCAAGTTTCGTGGGGATTTCATACAACACTATTTCTTTAGGAGCCCAGGCCTTACTGGATTCTGCAGGTGACTGGGGGTAGCAGAGATGAGAAAGGGGGGATGCTGTTTCCAGTATACTCCAGGCATCTGGAATCCAGCCAGTCTCTCCCTGCTCCCCCATCCAAGTCTTCTCAGAGACCCAAGGACAAGCTGTGCTCTAACCTTGCTCTTCCGGGCTAATCCAGCCTCCAGGGCCTCCTGCTTCTCTCGCAGGCGCTTCTGTTTGGCTTCACGGTTCCTCCGGGAGATAGATCCATGGGACTCTGACTGTGTAGAAAGGGGATGGGACCTGGGGAAGCCCCGTGAGGACCTCAGCCCCCAAAGTGGTTGTCGGAAAGAGGCCAGAGGCAAATGAGGCATCAGGAATGCTTGGAAAGGGGCCAAGATCTGTTCCAGATAGACAAAAGCGCATTAGGATAGGGTGTGTGGGAGGGTCACATCCCCTAAAGTCACACCTTATTTCTGATTCTCTGCCTATTAGCACTGGTCAGTTATTTTAAATATCTAGCCCTTCCCACACAGCCCTTCTTCCTTGTGTACTCGAGTGCATGGTGTCGACAGTTAGCAGGATCCCGGAGCCGCAAGAAACAGGGCTCTTCTAGGGAAGGGTCAGGTTGTGGCCCTCAGCCTGTGCATGTGCGAGGGTGACCGCTGACACATGGGAGGGTAAAGGACTCAGGGATTCGGGAAGGTGACCGACAGCACGCCTGAGAGCCAGCAAGAGTCCCGCCTGTCATTGTGCGATCTCAGCCTCCCAGACGCGGCCCGCGCTGCCCCGACCCATGCAGCCCGGCCTTCCCCCGCGTCGCACCGCGTGGGCCCAGGCCCCGCAGCGCCTCCCACCCCCTCCTCCCGGAGGCCGCCCTGGCGCGCGCGCTCACCGGGCGAGCCCTCAGCTATCCCAGGGCGCCCAGCGGCGGCGGCGGCAGCGATAGGGGCTGGGACAGCGGCAACCGGACCCCGGAACCCGACCGAGCCGCGCAGGGAGGCCGGGCTCGGCCGGCGCATGCGCGATGGCTGCTCAGCCCCACCCCCACCCCTTCCCCTCCCGGCGCGTCGGCAGCGGAAAGCTGAAGCTCGGCGGGAAGGCGCCCGGGGCTGCGTGGTTCATTGTCACAATTTTATTAAACAATTAGAGTCCCCAAGTGTGAGTTAAAAAACCCTGAGTTCTGGAGCCCCGCCCGCCTCCCGCCCCGCCCGAGCCTAGTCCGCACTCTCAGGAGCTGTGCTTCTGCCGCTTCCAGAAGCGCTTGACATCGCTGTGCCCTGCAGGCGTCACCACCATAAGCCGCTTGGCCGAGTTCTCGAACACCAGCACGCCCAGCTCCCGCGCATGGGCCAACAGCAGCTCAAAGTCCACTTGCGACAGGAACTGGTTATACAGGACGCCTGGGGTCCGCAGGACCGGAGAGGTGGGGAATGAGAGAAGGCCAGAATGTGAGGGGGAGCCTTTCTGTGGCAGCCTCAGGGCAGTGGGCTGGCCTTGTCACCCACCACCATTTAAAAACTAATCCTCTATGCTTGTCTCTTCCAGGGCTCATCTGAACACTAGTGTGATCCAACCATATTCAGGAAGGCAATAAAATACAGTAAGAAAACACATTAATGCTCACCAAAACCAGAGAAATTACTGAATTATCCCTCCCAATTTCCCTCTTCTAGCTAAATCCAAATTACACTGATTTGAGACATTTTATTTACTACCACCGACTCACCACAAAATAAAAAGTATCTTGCCAGCTTTTCTCTCCCAGCCCATGCAGCAAACAAAAAGTAAGTTAAATGCACGAATAGTTTTTTCAGCTCATCAAGACTGAATTGTCCTTCCTCTGGCCAATGACCAAGAATCAGTCATCAGAAGCCACTCACCCTCAGTGAAGCGGAGCCTATCTCGTTCCAGCTCCCATAGCCGGATCTGGTCCGTGATGGTGGGCGGCAGCACAGGTGTCTGCAGAGGCAAGTAATGGCTATAAGATTCTGGAAGACTGTGCCGGACAACCCCAGCCCTCCACGCATTCCCCAGATTTGGTTGCTCCTTTCTCTTTTCCATCACTTCATCACCAGGTGCCAGGGGCTGTCGGCCTCCAGCAGCTTGGTACCTGTTTGTACCTGTTTAAGCATGACTGGGTGGGCCCTTGTCCTTAGGAAATGGATGATCTAGAAGACAGACAAGAATGCGATCAGACTCGAATAAGAGGGCAGGAAAGCCACTTTGGCTGTCATCTAATGTCACTGGAACATCAACTTACTGTTTAAAAACTCATAGGTGCATGCCTGTTGTCAGCCCATTCCCTACTCAGCAGTTGTCCCAAGTTGCTGTTCCCACTGGTCATGTCTGCTATTCTTTCTCTGGCACATCTGCCCTTTGCATAGTCAGTCTTGTTTTGTTTCTTTTTAAAACAGCAGTACTTGCTGCGTGGCAGGCTCTGAGCTAAATGTTTTACTGCTATTCTAATATTGAATCCTCCCAGATGAAGAAACTAAGGCTGAGAGAAATGAAGCAACTAGGCTCTTTATACAGCTAGAAGTGGTGGTGCCAAGACACAAATCCAGAGCTATACCTCCTCCCTCCATGTTCTTCCCCTCAAGAGGCTGCCTGTTCCCACACCTTGACATCTCCTGTGCCTCGTCTATGCTCAAACACAGACGACTCCCCACCACCTATTGTAAAAGACCTGGGGCTGGCCTTCCGTAAGCTGACCACCCTGTACCCCACAGCCCAAGTGCAGCCTGTCTTCCTGCCACCCTCCTCCCCCAGTGAGGATACCTGCTGGGCTGTAATGCCACTGGCAATGGCCTGCTGCACGCTCTCCCGGGTCACCTGCGCCACCACCATGTTGGGGAAGCGATAGAGCATCTCCGAGAAGAGGGCAATGAGGGCGATCTGCAGCTCTGACTCTGACCCAGGGACAGGAAGAAGGGATGAGGGGGCTGACCCCAAACCCAGGCACAGGAAGAGGGGATGAGGAAGTTGACCCCAAACCCAGACTCACTGGATCCCTTCCTTCAAGTGTCATGAGAAATGTGAGAAAACTGTAAAGTACCCAGTAAACTAAACAAAAACTAAAATAAAATTCCCTCCTGCTTCCTTCCCTTTCCCCACTCCCACTCCCAACCTGCTTGCCCAGGTGCCCTCTGCTGTCTCACCCGTGTAGGCATACAGTCGGTAATTGGTTTCCACGACAATGAAGCCTGGCTGATGCACAGTGCCCCCAGCCCCAGAAACACCTGATGAGAGATTGATGGCCAGGCGGGTGGGGTAGTAACGCCGAGATTTCCTCTGGAAAGGATAGAAGGGAAAGGCAGAGGGCTCACTCTCAGGTGTCACCGCCCGACATCGTCCTTCCTAAGACACCAGATCCCTCCCAGTGCAGAGCCTCAACTCCCCACTTCTCTCCCCCAAGGGACTCAGGTATTCAGTCCCACTGCCTCCTGAAACCCCACACTTTTTTTTAAAGGCCAAGGCTACATACCACCCTGCCTTTTCCCTAGAGGCCATGAATTTGGGTGCTTATACCTTCCTCTGGAAAACAAGCCCAAACTCACGAAGATGTTGCAGGAAGTTCAACAGAGAATCACTCATACCTTCCACAGAATAATCCTGGGGAAGAGAGGTAGCAGCTGGGGTCCAAACATGTCCCATTCTCCCCTTCCCAACCCGCAAACTCACTCCCTCTTTTCCCAACACTGGTTGTTCATTTTTATTTCACTCTATTGCCCCATAACCTCGTTTCCCCATCCCATCTCGCTCCCCTTCAGCTCACCCACCCAAACCCCCAGCTCCACCCCCTGCTTACTTTGCCCAGGGTAGAGAAGCTGAGCTGGAAGAGAAAGGAGAGGATCTCCACTAGGTCCATGCCCCGACTCTAGGGAGAAATGGGCAGAGACAAGGGGGTAGGATGGGAGGGAGAAAATGAGAGGAGAGAAAATCAGGGAACAGTCTGCAGGCAGTAGTCTCTCGGTGGGTCCTGAGAAGGGCAGAGCACGCCAGAAAGCAGCCCCTGGGCTCCTCACCTGGGCTGTCTGCAGGTACTGCAACATAAAGTACCAGAGCTGGGCAGGAGTGTCCAGCAACAGGAACTGGAAGCCAGCAGAGGTAATGCAGGGTGGCTCTCCGGCCTCAGCACTAGACATGTAGAGAAGGACAATGGTAGAGGTGTGCACAGAAAGGCCACCAGCCCCACAGTCCGCTCACGTCTACTCTTGGTTTATCTCTGGCTGTACTCCATTCAGCTGTCCTTCTTCAACGCCCTCCAAGCCTGACCTGCCTGGACACTCAGTTTGGCAGCAACCCAAGGAGATGGCAAAGCCGGGAGCTGTGGTACCTCTGGCTTCCTCACCTCTTCATGAGCCCAGCCTGGCTGAGGAGCTGAGCCAAGTCCTGGCTGACGGCAGCACTGGGGGAGCCCACCATGAAGTGCAGGACCACCTGAGGAACGGAGGAAAACAGATGCCTCGAGGGTCCATGGGAAGTAGGAGCACAAGCAGAGACACACACAGAGTCCCAAGTCCTCACCTCCCATCGTTCCTCGGCGTACTTGTCGAGTGAGGGGACATCCCGGGCATGCTTGTCTGGTCCCAGCTGACTCGTGTCATCAGACCAGGCCTTGCCCCTATGCCAGGATGGGCCAAGAGTAAGGAGCCCTGCCTGTGTCCCCTGCCCACTCCTCTGCCCTCTTTCCACCTTTGTCCCCATGGGCCATGAGTGGAAGGCATTTCCCACACCACGCAGCTACATCTGGTCCAACTTGTTGCTAAGGAGCTGCCAAAGGTGGAGCCCACAAGGTTCCAGAGAAACCCCTAAGGAGCTCCCTCTCCAGAAGTTTAGTTCCCCTGGCCTAGCTTAGGAGGAGACGGAGTGACATACCCACCCAGAAGGGCAATGCGCAGGTTCTGGCGGAAGATGGGGTTGAGTATGAGGCCCTGGAGACCACCAGGGAGAAGCTGGGTGTGCCAGATACGGAGGCCGCTCAGCAGCCCCGTACTTTCCTCCTGGGCTCTGAAACAGAAGCAGAGAGGGGACAGGTATGTCTGGAGAACAAAAAGAAGGAGGCCAATAAAGGCCTCCGTTTCTGCTTTTGAACTAGTAGTCCTTGGATCACTGTTTCACAGAGTGAAATCAGTGTCTTAAGGCAAATTTCTTTACTGTAATGCCTGCCAGGGCCTTATTATAGACCTCACAACTCTCCAAAAGGGAAAATACAGTATACAGTTTCCCAAACTTATTTAATTACAAGTTTTATGGTGTACCCATTAATATTTCCTGGAAAATGTTCCAAGGAACAGCAGCTGGGGAAATCTAGCCATTGAGAAATTGGTATCCGGCTGAGAATACAGCACTCACTTGCTGAAATCCTTCTTTACCCACAGGGCTACAGCAGCTTGTGGCAGAGGCTGCTCCAGAAAGAGCATGCGCATCACCCAGTTCTTAGCCAGAGATGGGAGCTCCCTGCAGGAGGAGAGGAAAAATGTTACTGTCAGCAACTGCCCTAGATCTGCATCTCTGCCCTCAACCTGTGTCTTAGCCTCTCAAACATCTTGTCTCACCCCCCACCCCTTTACCAGTCTTGTGGCCCCAACAAACACCATTTGTTTTGGCCTGACACACTTTAATCTCTAAGCCCTGTAGGATTAAGCTTCTACCCATGATAACTTATCCCAATCTGCAGGGCCCCATTACATTTCCCCACCATGGTCCCTGCCATGAAGGGCACCCTCACCTGAAGACAGCCAGACAGGTGGCAGGGTGCCCATATAATCGGTCTAATACTCCAGGGCTCAGGCCCCCTAGAAATTCCTGCAGATTCCTGCATTGTAGGTGTACTCGGTTCAGTCCACCCCTTGATGGGATGCTCTCCATCACCTGAGAGATGCAAGCATTAGAAACGCAACCCCTCAATCCATGCCAGTGTCACCCCTCACCTTTCTCATTCCAATCCCAGATCCACTGTCCACTGGACCCCACAATAACCCATCTTTTCTATGGTTTTCTTTTCCACGTCATTCATCTCCTC